CATAGGAGAGCCTGTGTTGAGCATGTCCGACTCGTACCTGGACGACATCATCAACGAGGCTTCCTCTACTACACACACTACGCTGTCAGGCTGCCGCCGCCGCCCTGATGTTCCTCCCCAGCTGAGGTATCTCCCCCCGGTGACTTGAGCTCCTTGCAGCAGTCGATAAGGGCCCTAGAAAAGGCCACAATGAGAGTGGTCCCCAGGGGGGCGACCAAATGACCCACTTGTGGTTTCGCAGTGATGCCCATGTATCGGACAGGACTCGGGATATCCACCGAGTGGACCTTCGGGGATGATCACCATCCGTCGACGACGACGACGACATAGACATAGACATATTCTAAATGCACTTGGCAGACTACCCCTCGAGATCGACTAAGCAGCTAAAGCCAGTTCACCGTAGCCATGGATGGACATGTGTATGATATTTGTATTTCTCAGCCCCTGCCACGTCGCCTCCGACTAGTACAGCAAGGAGGAGCTTTTATTCAACAGGAGATGCTTCCTTATTCATGTCGCTAACAACAGCTGTGGGCTCAATGGACCATCGTGGTTCGCCTGTTCCACTCGTAGCCCCGACTGCGATGAGTGCGATAATTCAAGCCTAGCACCTACTATATCACGGATGACTTCTCTGAAGTGGTGTAACATTGCCAGGTAGAGTACACCGATCGACGGTACGTAGCTCAACGAGGATGGTTAAAGGTTGGCGGGCATGAGAGGGTTACCGCGGCGAGACAATAAGGCACTGGTGGCCAAAGGGAATCTTTCCAAATATACAGAGGATCGATCAACGCTGAGAGTGAACTAACCGAAGAGAAGGCCTGCTAGCAAACAGGCTCATGGCGACACTGTCCTCAAGAATGATGATGGTTGTTGATTTGAAGCTGTGGGGGATGATTGAGATGATGAATTCTAACACAAGTGTGCCGCTGTTGAGACGCAAAGCTAATGGCTTGGCAACACTTACCCATTCAAGTGATGGCGCTCGGCGGTGGCAAGCCGTATACCAGCTTTCAACTACGCAGCCCTGAAGAGTGAAGACGAGCAACAACAAGTGCACTCATCAAGTGACTTGATACGAGTCCACTATGGCCCATGGAGCCTGAATGAATGAACACCTTGAAAGTATCATGTCTCGAGATATGAATACCCGACATCTATGGCAGATGACCTCTCAAGCTGCTGCATACCACTACTGTCAACTCAATCCCATTCGAGGCCTCACAGAAACGATGAGATGCAGAAACGTGGTTGGGGAGAGCTCCGAATTAGCCACCAAGAGTGGTGATAGGTTGTGCTTCCTGGCCGAAGATATCAGCCAGCATTTCCTCTTCATATTGTCTCTGGGTTTCCTCCCTCCCAGCAGCCTCGGCCGACTCAGGAAACTTGTCAGCCTCCCTGACCTCTATGTCAGGTATCTGCGTTCAGCCACTCAGCGCCGATTACCATCAGCAGTCATACCTCAACCTTTCCCCACTCAATGTACTTCA